CTCGAGGGAGCCTTCAGGTGCTCACTGCAGAGCCAAATACCCGACCTGGTCCAGCTGCACCTAACTTGTACGCTGCACTTTGTATTAATGCAAGCTTGAACACTATGACGTCACCCAGCAATTTGGCAAACCCTGTTTAGAACCCTTGTTTTAGGCATTTGATCTGAGTGGTATAAGCCCCAATGAAGAAAAATGTTTTAAAAAATATGTATTTCAAAGCTTTTTTGAAAAAAAAAGAGAAGCTTTTTAATTTACACAGCACAAGTCAACAAACTAGAATCTGCACACGTCATATTGGACATCAAAGCTCAAACATCCAACTGAAGTAACTGTTGTATCAGGTCTAAACTACTGGACTTAATGAAGGCCATCTTGACTTTAAAACCTTCACCTGACTGCCTTGCTGCACATGCTGGATTTTTCAGAGCTGTAAAATGAAGTGAAGTCTTACGGAGCCCCGCAGGGGACATGGGAGCAAAAAAAATTAAGACTGACTTTTGCGAGATCTCGCAAAACAACAGATCTCGCAAAAGTTTTGAGAGATCTCGCAAAACAAACTCGGGATCTTGCAAAACTTTTGCGAGATCTCGCAAAAGTTGAATTCCAACAATGGCGGCAGCTACTTAGTTGTAATATTACTCTTTCTGGGTCACAAAATACACTTTTAAGATATTTTGAGGCGTGAATGTAGTTGTGTAAACGTCAGATACCTGCTAGGTTTACAAGACATCAAAAAGTGCTCCGACGTTTTCGGAGATCTGACATCCACTAGCTCGAAGCTAACGGGAGGTCGAGACCTACTACAGCCGGGAGGAACACCGCTTTCCCGGCACATCGTGCCTCGACCTCCCGGTCGGCGTCGAGCTGGCGGCCTCCGAAGAATGCGGCTAAAACTTTTGCGAGATCCCGAGTTTGTTTTGCGAGATCTCGCAAAAGTCCGTCTTAATTTTTTTTTCTCCCATGTCCCCTGCGGGGCTCCGTAAAGCCTGATTATTGTGGTTCTGGTTTTACCAAAATAAGATTTTTTCAGTCATTTTTTGAAAAAAAGCTCTGCTGTTGAAGGCTAAACATGCTGCCATGCAAATATATGACATATAAGAGAAATACTGGCTTCAATAATAATAATATTTGCTTTTCTCTTTGGGAGTCATTTGAGTAACATCTGTTCTTTGCTTTTGCTGTTTGTTTAAATATAGAAATGATTAAAAGGCCTTAATTTGAGCTCCAGAAACCTTTCAGCTGTGTTTTTTAAATGTGTAATTTGTCACATAAAACGTACTCCTCAACTCAATAAAGCCCCCGCATTACCGAAGGCAACACAGTGGTGTTTAAGGCCCTGACTCACAGCGAGCAATACTTGACTCTAACTCAGCCGGTTTAAACCTGTAATCAGGACTGTGAGGTTTTCTTCTGGCTCAAACTCTCCGCTCGCTCATCCTGTTCCAATCAGGACGAGCTGCAGTCCCGTAAACCTGTTAATTTTAGAGCAATGCTGTTTCCTGCTTCACTTGAACTCATCATTAGCAGGAATTTGAAAAAAAACTTTTACTTTTTTGTGCAAATTGTCAGCTGTCATTGGTGGTGGCTCCTCTACAGCCAGTGCCAGGAGGGAAACCGTGGCTGCCACCACGTAAGCACAGGAAGGAGCTTCATTTAAAACTGTCATCCCCTCTTCAATCCGGTCAACCTGACACAAAAAGATAAAAAGGAGGAGACGAGTGCTTCCTCCATCAACTGTGAGGGAAGTGGCGAGCTCTGAGCGCACGTCATGATTAGATGTGAATGGGATGCGGCGGTCTGATTGGTGCAGAGAGCCGGGGGTCAGGCGTTCTGCCAGCAGCTCATACAAGGCTGCTGATTGCTATTCATCCGCTGATTACAGTAATTTAGATCTGGAGCAGGCCAAAGGGGCCTACGTCTGGCAGGCTGGCTGCTGTGTCTGATTTTTTTTTTCTTCTTGTTGTCAGAAATGAGTGAATGGGGCTTGAAAAGGAACCAAACACACAGCACATTCTCAGAAAAGTAGGGTCTGAAGGGGGATTATGTGTGAAATATTTGTCATTTTCTTTTAGATTTTGTTTTAAAAATCCCAATTGTCAAGATATCTTCTACACACTTACATTGGCATTACAAACTTATACAATAATAAGACAACGAACTCCATCTGCTGTTGCAGAAGCTTAATATTTATCTCCAAAAATATCAAATGCATCTTTAAAATCAAATTTTCTGCAAGCCAAAACTGAAAGAATGAATGATCGAACAGTATATGATACATCAGTTTTGCTCTTTTTGTCTTCCACGCGCCCTTTTGGACACGCTGAGACCTTGAATAATCGAAGTTGATGAGGCACTTAGTCGTAAATGGTTTTTCTAGGCGAGCTGGTGATGATTAATCAAGGAACAGAGCAGCTCTGGCCTCTTCGCGCGCCCACATTACCAGGTTAATCTCTCTATTGATTATTGCAGCAGATTAAACGAATGCTTCACCACCAGATTTTCTCTGTTTTCACACACGTGTCTATGGTTTGTTTTCTGCTGGTGCATAAGC